AGAGAGAGAGAGAGAGAGAGAGAGAGAGAGAGAGAGAGAGAGAGAGAGAGACTCATTGATGTGACCACCAAAGATTGCAGGAAAAAGGTTAAAATCCCTCCAAACCCTGAAGCTTTTGGTGGCTGATGTAGGATTCCCACAAGTTGTGGTGTTTACCCCGCAGCTTGCATTTCATCTGTGAAAACAGTACACCATTTGTTTCCTTTGCTGTGACAGCCTCAGTTAGTTCTTAAGAAATCCCTGCCAAGTTCCAGTCTGAATCACCATTGTCTGTCTGCCCGTGGTTCCCTGAAAATAACAGCAAGTTCGCCTCACTCACAGAAAATTGCACACACTGTAGCTGCTGCCCTTCCTACCCAGCAGAGTGGGGATTCGGACCTCCCTTCTGGTTGCTTGGAATACTAAAATGATGTGTGTGACACAGTCTAGACTGAGTGAGGTTAATAACACTTCATAATAAAGACTTCAGTGGGGCTGTTCCTAAGTCAGCATCCTATTTGTTCACTTTTATTGCAAGTGTGAGGCGGTGAAGAACACCCAGAACTCGTGTAAAATTTAGATTCATGTACATGGCCAGCATGTTCCTGCCGCTGCCCTGCACCCTAAATCACACTTCGAAAGGTAAACTGGGCCGTGTTTTTACTGTCTCAGTCAGTTGCCTGTCACTCTAATGTGGTATCCAAGGGTGGATAAATAAACAGAGGTTTATATAGGTTATAGTTGCGGGTCTGAGAGTCTTACAGTTCCTCTCTGCTCAGACTCTCGTGAAATCCTTTTGTTTTACCTCACAGTACGGCAGGGCAGGTGCCATCACGGTGGGAGTACCTGTGGGAGAGGCAGGCTGTGCGCATGGCAGGCTGTGCGCCTGAAGCAGGGATTCAGGGGAGCTGCCAGGTTCGTTCACAACAAACCATTCTTGTCGGAGTTTATCCAGTCCCATCAGATCAGTATTGATCCCTTCAAAGAGTGTTACGTCTGTGATCTCAGTCATCTTCAGGGGTCTACCATGTCACCTTAGTGCCACCAAGCTCACACCATGTGGGCCACAGAGGACACACTCATGCCATGCCTAGCTACTATAGGATTTGTTTTGAATTCCCTAAGTGGTCTGGGGACCTCTAGAGGTGAGTGGACCCCACTTGGAGAACCAGTGCTTGAGTGGGTGCCAGAGTCCCATCTGCTACCAAGATGGCTCAGTTCTTCAGTGTGTCAGGTGAGACTTTGGTGACTGGTGAGAGGGAGGTGACGTGGAACCGCCTTCCCCTTAAGGGTGTTGTTGAAGACTTCTTTAGTAATTGTTTTGGGAAGTGAGTTTTCTTTCTTTTGTGATATCTGGGTTCTGTGAAGTGCATGGCATGGTGGTTGCTGTAGAATTCCCTGTTTCTTGGAAGGTATTTGGCTTTTTGGCGACACTTGCTGGGTATTCATCAGTTTTTCCTAGTACATCCTGAATGAGGTAAATGTGTCTCCCCGGGAACAGTGACTAATGTCTTCCTCCCTGTATGCAGGTATGCCCTGCGCAGCTTTGGAGCAGATTTATAGTGCCTAGTCATTTCCACGAGGCCAGAGTGCAACCAAATTAGCTCTCCTTACTCCAGCCCAGGCTACTGCTTGCCCCTGAGTTGGTCCTGGAAATGCTTAGAGACCCTGAAGTCTGGACCAAGGGAAAGCTTGAGGGTGGGTTTTGTCTCTCAGTGGCAGCACTCCCGTGCCCACTGCCTCACTGGGGAGTAGCCGGAAGCCCCATTTCCTCAGCAAATCACTGATAGGAGGGGCACAGCCCACCTGAGTCTACTGATTCCTTCTTTTTAAATAAGCGGATCTTGAGTGCTAAGGGGGTGTAGGCAGCTGAGTTAGGGTCTCTATAAACACCACTGTTGAGTAAAGAATGGCTTTGGCCATTCCTGATCTACCAGCGGGAGTGAGAGTGGCCTGCTGGCTGTCATGATTCTGTGACATGCCTGCTCTGCGTTTGGGCTGTATCTTATCCTATCCACAGTAAAGAGAAGGACGGGCTACAAGCCCCTCCTCTTTCATCCCAAACATGTTTTGGATTTAGAATATTTATATTTCAGAAAGTTATCATAGTGCATATGTCATATGGCACATAAATCCATGAGCAAAGCCAAAGATCTTTATAGCTAAACATGAGGATATTAACCCCTTAAAAATGTGACAGCCACATCCCTAACAGATGCGAACAGCTCACTGCAGGATTACTGAAGAATCCTCTTTCAAAATGGTAGGCAGTGGGCAGTGGACAGCTTGTCTTACTGGTGAGGGTGTGAGGGATAGAGAAGTAAAATCACTTCCACAGGTGTCTCAGCTGTAGATGAGGAGACAAGAAATGGAAACTCAAGTGACCTGAAGTGCTCTGGGTAAGGAAAGGGTGAGAGAAAACCCCAAGGGTGCCTTGGGGTCTGTTCAGGAACGTTTGTCACGGTGCCAGAAGCTTTGGGGGCCGGCCACCTTCCAGAGTACACTAAGGGAAGGAATCAGGCCTCTCAGGCCTCAGGGAGCCCTATGGAAGAGGAGGCAGGAAGAGGGGAAGACCTGGAGGGGTTGGAAGACACCAGGGAACCAAGGCCTTGCAAACACACCATGTGGTACACAGAGGAACTCGAGGACACTGTGCCAGCATGCACGGGGCTGCACAGGTCTGTGTCAGAGGGGTTAGAGCCGAAAGGAGAAGTGGACGCCTGTCCCATCTCCTAACTGTTACTCTGTTAAAAAAATAGTGTTTTTTCCCCACTGGGGAGTCTCACTAGGGAAACAAAGCATTCTTAAGGGAAGGCTGCGTGCCCAGCAGTCGAAGGGCAACAAAACAAACTAAGGGGCATCCTTGGAAGTCCTTTGTTTCATGGCAAGTAAGTTAGGGCCTTTTCTTTCTTTTTCTTTCTAACTTTCCAGGTCCTTTCCACGCGCAGTATTTTTTGTTCCCTGTGTGTATGACACTGTGTATCTCTGCATCTCTATGCACGTGCTGTGCTTCTTCTTTGGCTTGTTTGGTTGTTTTTGCCCTATTCGGCTTTGTTTGTTTATTTTATCTCATTATTATTCCTAAGATACCTGTTTATTTCTAAGGAGAGATAGAGAGGGTATCTGGATGGGAGGGAGGGTAGGCAGGGGCTGGGGAAGTAGAGGGAGAGGAAACTGTAACCAGAATATATTGTATGAAAAAAATCATTTTAATAAAGGAAAGAAAATGAAGGTGTTGGGGACAGACCCACCTGGGGAGGATCATCCCGGGGAGGACCATCCTGGGGATTAGAGGAAGGACTTTGTCCAACTCCTCTAGTTACGGATGCTCACTGCGTCTTTCCTTACCGCTGCAGGACTCTTTCCGCAAACGCTCTCTGAGACGGTCCTCAACTTTGAGCAGGAAGCTCCAAGCCCCAGAGGAGAGCCAGCAGCAGTCTGAGCCTTTTGTCCACACCCCAGCCTGTCGGGGTCCACAGGAGGTCCCTACTTCCAGCAGTGACTCCATCTCCAGGAGCCCTCTGGGTCAGCTGAATGAACTGTCTATAGAGAAGCCAAATGCCACTTCTAGCAGCCAAGGGTTGTCCCAGAGGGACAGACTCAGGCTAAGAAGTGTTTCAGAGGACAGCCCACTGTGGTACAGCCACACAGAAATCAACACACCTTTGAAGCTGTACTTGCCTGATGGGAATTCCAGGATGCCGCAGGAACGGCTGGAAAGAGCATTCAAGTGGCAGGGCAGCCAGCCCCCATCTCTCAGGTGAGCGGGGACAGCCAAGGTGGGCCTTTCCAAACCAAGCACCACTTGGTACATACGGTCCAGTGTGTGGTCTTGGGCATTCATGTGGCTCTCTTGTGCTGTCACTACAAGCCAGTGAGGCAGGCACAACCTGAGGATTTTCATTAACCAGGAAGAAAATGGAGCCAGAGGTCACACCTTCCAAAGTTCTGGGGGAGGCCTTCTCTGTCTGAATGGAGAAGAAGCTCCGTTCTTCTCCGAGCTGTAGAAGGTTTTAGTTGATGTCCCCAAGCACACCTTGGACCTGGAGTGGCACACCTGACTGATGGGGACTTGAGGAGTTCCCTACATTCGTGAATCAGCCCCCAAAGACATCTTGTGGACGCTCCTTTTATTTCTTTGACCCCTCTTTTTACTTCCGTTCTTTCATAGTAGGCTACTGGGGATTTCTGCAGTAATCGATATTTGACTGTTCATTCAGTCCCACACCTGGAATGAGCCTCTTGGCTATGGTACCAGTGGATTTAATTCATTCATATCTCATTTAGGACTTTAGTGCATAGATTCATGGAGAAGATGGCTGGTGGGTTTCCTGTTGCCTCTCCCTCATTGGATGCTGGCCCCTTTTTTTTCTCTTTAAAGTGTAAGACTGATGCTATTCTCCTTCAATACATGGTAGAGTTTAGCGGGAGGGACTTCTGAAGGGTTTTAAATTATATTTCCAATCAAAATACTTTTAATTAGAAATTTCTATTCTTTGTCAGTTGGGCCAAGTTATATTTCTCAAGGACTTTGTCAGTCTTCTCTGTATTTAGACTATTGGTATAATGACGCAGTTAAAAGTGGTTTTTTTCACTTTCAAGTTTGTAAGATCCACAGTGATGTCTCTGCTTCATTCTTGAAATTATTGATGAGTAGTAATTAAAATATTAGTGATTTGTCATTGCCCTCCTGTGCACTGGAGTGTCTGTGCATTCATACCCATTAGTCTTACTTATTTAGCTTTATACATTTTCTGGGAACCCCCTGTGGCTTTATGTGTGTCTTTTCAGTCATTTGGGACCTTTTTAGTTATCTCATTGGTTGTACTTCCTTTTGGTTTAACTTGGGATGCTTTGGCTCGCTTCACGGCTGTCTTCTTTTGTGATGTCTTTGCTTGCCCGCATCCTTCCATGACCGTAGGCTTTCTTCCTGGTTGGTGACAAGTCAGTCACAGTTTGAAGGTTGCTTTGTGCTCTGTTTCGGGTGACGACTGACTGTTCCTCTCACACTGTGGCTCCTTTAGGAGATTTTTCTTTCTTTGGCTTCCAACAGTTTGGATGCCACACCCCAGTGTGGTTTTCTTTGATGATTCTTTTTGGGATACATCAACTTTTCTGAAATTGAGGATTCATACTTTTCATCAGTTTTGGAAAAGTCGTCATCTGTTAACCTTTTAAATACCGTCTTTGTTTCACTCCCTTTCCTACCTTCCTTCCTTCCTTCCTTCCTTCCTTCCTTCCTTCCTTCCTTTCTTTCTTTCTTTCTTTCTTTCTTTTCTTCTTATTTTTCTTTTTTTTTTTTTTTGGTCTGGGACTACTTCCAGAGATGGTCTTTTCACTGTGTTTGTGTAGTGTGGCTTTTAAGTATTCTTTACATATTTTTTTCTGTCATTCTCGCTCTGTATTTCCATATGGATATTTTTTCTTTTTCTTTTGTAATTAGATCTCACAATTTCTAAGCCCTGGGCCACAGGTTCTGGGACTGTAGGAATGCACCACCGCCCTCTGGGCATTTTCTCTTGATCTCTTCACTTCATGTTTTTTCTCTTTTGTCACATCTAATATGCTATAAAACTTAATAAGTAGCTTCTTAATTTCTGTTATTTTTATATTTTAGAATTTTTATTCATTAAAAACTCAGATTATCCTGATTTTCAGGCATAAGATTCCTCATGGTTTTAAAGTCACCACCCCATGACTCCAGTGGGTGAATCACCCTGGCTCTGCTGGATTGTCTACTTTTCCATTGAATTTTAGTCATTTCTTATCTCCTCTTTCCATGCATTTTTGGTAATTTTGACCGGATCTTAGTCATTGTGTGCAGATAGATTGGGCCTGGCTCAGAGAGTGTGCCACAGCCCAGGCCTGCAGCTCAGAGAAAAGCTTTGGGAGTCCACAGTCATCTTCTACCTTGATTTTCTGTAATCAGTCTTGTTTGGCCTGTGCTTTACATTTCAAAACTCTCGCTAAATTCCTTCTTGATTTTATGTTTCAATAATACTTTGGTGCCCTGTTTCTGTTTACACACAGTCTTCACTTTCCTCTTTATATATTTGTTTGCTTCTTGGGGTGAAAAGAGCCTGTCTTCCTTTCTGTCTTTGTAAAGGGAGAAGGTTTCCTCTGGGCTGCCCTATTTGCGGTCTACCATGGCTTGTGGTGTCACCTTCACTCCTCACTGAGGTCTTGCTCAGGCAGGGCTCTCTAGGACCTCTTGTTGATTCTTTTCCTCCCTCCCACTGTCCCTCCAATCTTCCTTCTGTCCCTCTGTCCTTTGTCCCCCCCCACCCCCCCATCACTCCCTCTTACCCATCCTTCTGCAGGCTTCCTTCTGTCCTGAAGCCACACTTGTTCTAGCTGTGTCTTGCTGAGGTCAGCCCTGCTCCTCCAGAGTTGTGCTCATGGCTTTATTCTTTCCACATGGTTTGGTTGTTCCTGTAGTACAACATGTCCACCCACTTCTGTGGAGGGGCAGCGTGGCCCCGTCTGTCAAGGCCCTGTTTCCCATCATCTCACACGGTCCCTCCCTTGTTAGTCATATGCTTTTCTTAGGCTGGCTCCTGGGTCATGCCTTGACTCTTTCACAGCATTTATGATTATCAGAGAGTCTCCGTTTACTTGTCTGTTGTCTGTCTTCTCCTCTGAAGATTATTTTCCCAAAGGCAAGGACCTTTTTGTTCTCTGTGTATCTGACAGCATCCTGTCTACAGAGAATGGTCGCTTAACGGTACCATCCCTGCAATGGACTTCAACGGCAGTGCAGAAGTCGACCCTTCTCTGACGTGGGCCCATGTTGTGTAAAGCACTGTTCTAAGTATTCTGGATAATCATCAAAGGTCTGAGGGGATAACCCCATGTCATAGATGAGGAAGCATATACAGAGGCATTCATTTGCCCAGTGAGGGACGGGGCAGAGTCTGTCGAGCACATGAATGACTATGTCACATTTGTCCCTGAGCACAGATCCTTCCACAGCCTTTGGGTGATGGCCCCCTAGCCTCTTGCACACTGCTGACTGCCAGAGTCATCTTCACCCTGAGCCCATTAGCTTACCTCTAGTTTAATCCAGAGTCATTGCCTTGGGTTTCCTTGTAGTGCCAAAGCAGCTTTGTTCTAGAGAAGGAAAACATCAAAACCAGTGAGTGGGCCCGTTCTCGTGCTGTGGTGGGGTCTGGGAGAGTGACTCTGGGGTGTAGAATGGAAGGCCTGGGATCGTCAGTTCTGGCTGACCCTGGCTTGCTCACTTTCCACCCAGGCTCTAGTGTCTCTGGCTGTAAAGTTATCTTGCTTGCATATATTGCTGGCTGAAGTCTTGCTTCCTGTTATTGCGCCCCCTGTGGGAGTCAGCAGGTTTCTGCTGCTTACAGGGCACTTAAGAGGCGTGGTTCTGGAATCTGATGATGTGGGTTGGGAAACCAGCTGTGTCCTTTGTCACCTCTGCCGTCATAATCATTCACTTAATCTCGGGAGATGGCGTGAGCTTCATCTTCTCAGAAGAGGAGGTGGGTTAAAACGTTTGCACAGCTCCCTGTCCTCCAGTACTTGGCAGGGTGTAACCAGGGGTATTTATTGTGTATTTAATAGTATGGACTTCTGTCAGTCAATCAACATACATCTGTGTATGTGTCCTTCACCATCTTCTTCTTCTCTTCACTTTCCTTCTCCCTCTTCTTTTTGGGCACCATATTAAATGCATTACATCTTCTCATTTGTTCTTCATAATAATCCATTGAGGCAGGTATTATATTTTGATTTTTTTTTTTAACGAGGAAAGTTTTCATTAGATAATATCTTCCCCACTCCCACAAACAAATAGTAAAACAAAAGGCCTTGGGCAGACAAGAGCTAGATACAGCACCTTTGTGACTGTTAAGGCCAAAGGCAGAAAGCAGGAACCCTCAAGTGTTGGTGGTCTCAGGGGGACAGACTTTAGCTCACTGTAGGCTGGGGCAAGTTTCCTTTTGTGGAGACCACCCCTGGAAGAACTGCTCACTCTTAGAAGGAAGAAGGTTGAGCCTAGGATGTCCCTTTATTTATATAAAGTTTAGCCATCAGACAAGTCCTGCTTTCTCCTCCTATCAGGAAGCATGGAGGAGAGAAGGCCCAGGAGGAGGGGAGCACTGAGCCTTCTCCATAGCACAGACCTTTCCAGACTTACACGGGCCCTTGGTTAGGAGGAGGGGACAGATGGTCTGGCAGCGTGGGCTGCATCCATTTCCCATTGCAAGAATCTTGGATGGAAAACAGAACCGTGTTTTGCCACACAGAGGTCAGAGATCTGAGTTGAGTCACACCAATGCCGAGCTGTGGGCAGGACTGCTCGACTTCTGGAGGCTCCAGAAGAAGTCTCCTTCTCTTTTCTGGATTCCAGTGGCTGCTAACAGTCCTTAGCTCCCTTCCGCCATCTTCAAAGCTGGCCACACTTGCTGAGTCCCTGTCAGACTGCCACCTCTCTGCTTTCTCCTCTGCCTCTGACTTCCACAAGCAAAGACTCTGTGATGATATGGGGCCTTCCTGGAGAACCAGGCTGCTCTCCTCACCTTGAGGTCATGTAACCAGCAACCATACACAGCCTTAGTTTGCTGTTGCTGACTAACGTCAGTGCAGCAGGCCTGGGGTTAGTGTGGGAGCAGGTTTGGAGGAAGGGATCCTTACCTGCAGCATCTTCTTGAAGCACTTTAGAATTCTGTTTGGTCTCACGATAGTTTCTAATGATTGTCTTCTGTCCTCAGTCTGTCTGTCTATACCACCCAGGAGTTGGTG